TCAGGCATTTTGGGTTTTCATGAGCTGTATGCCATAATCATCAGTATTAAAACAATTAAAGACCTGAAATATTTCAGTTGGTGTGCAATGAATCTGAAATATATGAAAGTTTCATTTTTATCATTACATTATGGAAAATAATGACCTTTATTACAATATGCTAATTTTTTGAGAAGGACCTGTATGTATGTATATATATATATATATATGTATATATGTATGTATGCATATATATACACACACAAACCCTTTCCAAAAAAAATAGAATATCATGGAAAAGTTGTTTAACTTCCATAATTCCATTCAAAAAGTTAATCTTTAATCGATGATAGATTCAGGGCCCACAGTTTAATCAATCTCAAGTATTTATTTGTTTTTTTTACATAATTTGGGCTTCTAGCTCATGAAACTCATGAAAACAGGATTTCCAAAAATTTGAATACTATGGAGAAATCAGTCCAAATGTTGCAGGACATGAATCTTTTAAACTGAGTGTGACACTAATCATCTACTAAACTCAAAGCACCTGCACAGGTTTCCCCAGGTGTCATTGAATTGCTTCAGTTTGGTTCAATATTGGGAAGACTGCAGACAGAACAACTGTCCAGAAGACCATCATTGATACCCTCTATAGGATGGGTAAGCTATAAAAGTTCATAGCTAAGGAGACTGGCTGTTCACAGAGTGCTGTGTTCAAGCACATCAATGGAAAGTCTAGTGGAAGGACAATATGTGGCAGGAGAAGATGCACCAGCAAAAGAGATGACCGTGGGCTTCAGTGGATCATCAAACAGAGAAGATCCAGAATCTGGCAGAGATCCAGAAAGAGTGGAATGAGGCGGGAGTCACCGCTTCAACAACCACCACATTCAGACACATCTGGGAGATGGGCTACAACTGTCGGGTTCCTCGGTCCTCTTTTCCAATGAAAGTAAAGTGCCTTTCATTCAGAAATCAAGGTTTTGGAGGAAGAAGGGTGAGGAACAGAACCCATACTGCTTGAGGTCCAGTGTGAAATATCCACAGTCAGTCATGATTTGGGGTGTAATGTCCAGTGCAGGTGTTGATAAACTCTGCTTTCTTAAATCCAAGGTCACTGCAACAGTCTACCAGAATGTTTTGGAGGACTTCATGATTCCTTCTGTTGAGGATTTGTATGGAGATGCAGAGTTCATCTTTCAGCAGCACCTGCCCCTGCCGCCAGAATCACCAAAACCTGGTTTGATGCCCATGCCACAGTGCTTGAGACTGGCCAGCCAACTGGCCGGACCTGAACCCCATTGAGAATCTATGGGGTATTCTCAAGAGGAAAATGAGGGGCACCAGACCCAACAACAAAGAAGAACTGTTGCTGATTGGCAGGTGTTCAAATACTTATTTGCAGCAGTAACACACAAATAAATTATTCAGAAATCATACATTGTGATTTCCGGATTTGGTTTTTTTTTTTTAGATTATGTCTCTCACAGTGGACATGCACCTAAGATGAAAATTTCAGACCCTCCATGATTTCTAAGTGGGAGAATGATTGCAAAGTCGCAGGGTGTTCAAATACTTATTTTCCTCACTGTATATACACACTGCCTGGCCAACAAAAAGTCGCCACCAAAAATTTTTTTCACCAAGATCTTGCACTGATGACTTGGCACTAGGCATGATGGGTGCATCACTTCACCTGCCTTTCTTCTTACCCTGATGCGCCCATCCCTCTGGAACTGGGTAAATCTGGACTCATCAGACCACACAACCTTCTTCCATTGCTCCAGAGTCCAATCTTTATGCTCCATAGCAAATTGAAGCTTTTTTTTTTTTTGGTTAGCCTCACTGGTTAGTGGTTTTCTTAAGGCTACACAGCTGTACAGTCCCTTGAGTTCCCTTCGCATTGTGCATGTGGAATTGCTCTTACTTTCACTATTAAACACAGCCCTGTGTGCTACTGTTGTTCTTCTTCGATTTGGTTTCTCCAAACGTTTAATACATACATATATATGTATGCGCATACATACATATATAATGTGTGTGTGTGTGTATATATATGTATGTATATATATGTATATATATATATATATGTATATATGTGTGTGTGTGTGTGTGTGTGCATGTGTTTTAGGGACTTGGAAAAGTTTTTCAACTGTGTTCCTTGCGGTACACTGTGGGGGGGGGGGGGGGGGTGCTCCGCGCATATGGAATTGTGGCCCTATAGCTACCGGCTGCTCAGTCTCTTTACAACAACATAAATAGTTTTGCTCGAATTGCTGTTAGTAAGTCGGACCCCTTCAGGGTGGGAGTTGGACTCCACCAGGGCTGCCAGTTGTCACTGATTATGTTCATAACTTTTATGGACAGAATTTCTCTGTGCAGCCAGGGGGCAGGAGGAGTCTGGTTCTACTGAATTACTAAATAAGACCTGACATGTTCAAAGTGTGAAAGACTGAAAAAAGGTTTTCTGATTTTTGCTGAAGCAGTGGGAATAAACTGGAGCTCAAACTGCTGCAACATGATTACTGCATGTTTTCTTGTAGTTAACCAAGTAAAGGTGATCCAGAACCCTCTGATCCAGTGTCCACACCAAATGAAGCAAACACAGTGGGGTTCTGCTGCACACTTCCACCAGTTCACATTTTAAAGGTCGACTTTCCCTCAATAATATCATCTCTTTATCTTGACGTTAAAATAAAATTAATTATTTTTTTTCCTCCTGTCAGCATAGATGTATTCATCTAAAGCCCATTTTTTTAATTGTGCCAATTTAGTCATTTACAAAAGCTGAAAGTTTCTCTACTTGATGTAGGGAACTCTGGTAGAAAAATGCAGAACTGTGGGAACAAAAGGTGGATACAGGAGCAGCAAATACTCTGGTTTTTTTGGGGGGTTTTTTTGGAAGTAGAAGCAACACCAAACACGTGTTCAAACTTTTATTTACATGGTAAAGTGCAGCATGAATCATGAATTGTGTCCTCTCTCCAGGTAGGTGACAGCATCGTCCACAAAGCCAGAGAGACGCTAGAAAGAGCCATCAAGTTGGTCAATGACACGAAGAAATGGGGGGCGCGAGTCGTGTACGGAGACACGGACAGGTATGCTGGATTAATGCATCCTCTGTGGAAACATGAAGACTGTTTTTTGGTTCCATCACTCCTTACTGTCTGCTGCTTTTACAGCCTCATCACAGCTCCTAACTCCACCCAGTGGAGGAGCAGGGACTGTTTGGTCTGACCATCTGGGGGTTCTGTTCCTGGGTCTAAAAGATTCATTATTTAAAGACGGCATTCCTGACAAATGCCTTGAATATTTGTGTAAATTCTTAGTTTTCTTAGTTGCAAAAATCTCTAATCTTCTCACATTTGTCATAATGGGATATTGTGTGTAGAATTTTGAGGAAAATTATTAATTCAATATGCTGATTTTTAGTTTGGTGTGGCACAGTAAAATAAAGGACACCAACAAAACTTTGGTTGCCACATCAAATTCCAAGATGGTCATCTTTATATACCATATTTTTTGCCGTAAATTTCGCTCCACCCTGTAAAGCCCCCAGTATACTCCCACGTACGTCCATAAGCAGAGGTACGCATGCACGTACGCAGAGGTACGAGCGTACCCCCCAGGGCATGTCCGTGCAAAGCTCAATTTTTACGACCGCGTACTCGGTGTCGCACAATAAACTGCCCGATGGACTGTTTAGTATGTGACACCAATGTATTAAATTCTCCTTCTTCATCTCTGATCTGGCCTTTTCTTTTGTTTTTTTGCCAAGAGGCAGTGATCTCTTCCTCCTCCGTTGATGCCATGACTGAAATGGTGAGAAATGGAGGAATTAGTCACGAGCGAATTAAACTCGGTCCAGCGTGGCTGCGGGAGGGTCTGGAGATTTCATGGTGGGCTGGTCTGATGTGTGGGCTGCAGGACCAGCGCTCCCTGTTTAAAAAAAAAAATTAAGATGTTTTTATTAACAACATATAAACACAGAACACCGCTGTGACTGAGGCTGCCAGCGCTCGTTTTTTATTCTTCTTTTTTCTGACCTGTCAATCAATCCAGTAGGCGTGTCAGCAAACGACCAATCGGCGACCTCACTTTGTCCCGAAGGTGAACGCCCCTTGTCTGTGAAGCTGCTCTGCAGCTGCTCAGGGTGGACGCTGGAGTCTGAAGTCTGAACCCTCTGCGTACAGTACACGTGTACACACGCGTGAACGGACGTACGCGGGAGTATACTGGGAGCTTTAGTCGCATCAGTTCAAATACGTCTAATAAAGTGGAAAAATCCATAAATATGTCGTTTCACCCTATACGTTGAATCTATTATGCATCACTGCTGACGCGTTGCGTCACCGCTGACAACCCAAAAATGTAGGCCGGTGTTTTGCCAAAAATCGATTGGCTGTCAAATGGAGGCCGCTGGAGCGTGCACGGGAGGACTTTAACAAGAATTTAACAAGATTAACACTTAAAAACAATTATTTGTTTGCTCAAAGTTATAGTAAAGGAGTGTCTCCATTGAACTTTTACTTAATAAATGAACTTCAATGGTCAAATTAGCTGCATTTCATCGGGGCGGCACAGCAAAATGAAGCTGGTTTGACTGTTGCTCCAAGCAAGCTGGACAAAGGTGACAGGCTGTGGCAAGCCGATTATTAGCTGCTTTTACCTACTACATGACACAACGGCATGCCATACTAGTCTGATGCCTTCTAGCAGCTGAAAATGGTAGTGTTCAATATTTTCAGTCAGAATGAATGAAAATGGTCATATCTCAGCCAAAACTTGGTTTATAAATATGGGGGAAAATCCATAACGATGTCGCTTTGGCGTATAAGACGCAGGGCATGCAAATTATGCACACACAAAAAAAGCAACTTATAGGGTGAAAAATATGGTAAATAAACTCATCATGCCTATCATTTGAGGAAACTACGCTTTCTATAGTTTTTATATTGCTTAAAAGTTATAGTTAGTTATAGGAAGTCATCAGCTTTGGTAAATGTAATACCCTTAATGTGCTTGGCCCCTTGGCTTCATACAGCCACTCCAATGTCAGGAATCTGGGAGTTATTTTTGACAGTGCTTTTAAATTAGACAAACAGATAAATACAGTTGTGAAATCCAGTTTCTTCCAGCTAAGACTTATTGCCAAGGTGAAGTCTTGTCTCCCTTTCAGAGACCTTGAAAAGGTGATTCACGCTTTTATCACATCTCGTTTGGACTACTGTAATTCATTGTATGTTGGTTTAGACAAATCATCTTTGCATCGTTTACAATGTGTCCAGAACGCAGCAGCTCGTCTTTTAACAGCAACTAAAAAACATGAACACATAACCCTGTCCTGGCTTCTCTCCACTGGCTTCCTGTCCACCTCCGAATTGATGTTAAGATTTTATTGCTTGTTTTTAAAGTCTTAAAAGGTCTGGCCCCGTCATATTTATGTGATCTCATTAACATCTACACTCCAGTAAGAGCACTCCGGTCTACCAACCAGTTCCTCTTAGATGTCCCCAGATCCAAACTGAAATCCAGAGGTGATCGGGCTTTTGTGGTTGCTGCTCCAAAACTGTGGAACAGTTTACCTGAGAATTTAAAGAGCGCTCAGACTGTTGAGACTTTTAAATCTTTGCTCAAGACTCATCTGGATTCCTTGGTATTTCATCCACGCAGAGTCTGAGAACAAGTTGAGCTGATTTTATTGTTGTTATGTGTTGTTTTTATTGTCAACTTATGTTTTTGAGTGGCACTAGATGCATTTTTACTCTTTTTAATTTTTTAATCTGTCTTAACTGTAAAGCACTTTGGTCAGCTTTTGTTGTTTTTTATGTGCTATATAAATAAATTGACATTGACATAGTCCCCCCGCTCCACTGTTGCGCCTGCTCATGGATAAAATCACTCCTTTCAGTCAGAAACTTTGTTTACTCACATTCCGTTTTATTCCCACCCAGAAAAACACTTATCCCAAAAGCTACAAACATTCACTATTTAAAACACTCATGGACATTGGCGCACCGCTTGTTATCTGCAAATGTGACCAAAATAGAGCCGTATAGCTTAAAGTTGATTAGCTGTGACGGACATCTTGAATGGCTGCTCCAGCTAATGGGTTAATTAGTTGCAGGTGTGCATTTTAATGATGATTCTGAGCCTGTGACATTTCTGACACATAAGCTTTAGTTACTTCTGTGAATGATGACAGTGACGATGCTGCTGAGAGTATTCTTGTCTATGTCTCGTGTCTGGCAGCATGTTTGTTCTGCTGAAGGGAGCCACCAAAGAGCAGGCCTTCAAGATTGGCCATGAGATCGCCGAGGCAGTGACCGCAACCAACCCCAAACCAGTCAAGCTCAAGTTTGAGAAGGTAGAGCTACAACCTTCACAGAAAGGTGTACGGGCAGCAGCTTTACAGAAATGTCCGTTGAGGATTTGTCTGATTTAGTGTTTTACCAATGTTTGGACCCCAGGTGTACCTGCCCTGTGTGCTGCAGACAAAGAAGCGGTACGTGGGCTACATGTACGAGAACCTGGATCAGAAGGATCCTGTATTTGATGCCAAAGGGATAGAAACGGTGCGACGCGACGGATGCCCCGCTGTTTCCAAGGTAACATTGCGCTCTTCACCAGTCAGAGCCTGATTTGTTCCTGCTCTCCTCCGACCTCTTCACATGTCTGTCAGGACGTGTTTGCTTTAACACGTTGAGTTCTGTTCAGATCCTGGAACGGTCCATCAAGCTTCTGTTTGAGACGCGGGATGTCAGTCAGGTGAAGTGCTTTGTGCAGCGCCAGTGTGCAAAGGTTCTGGATGGCCGGGCCAGCATGCAGGACCTCACCTTTGCCAAGGAGTACCGTGGCAGTGGCTCGTATCGGCCCGGAGCCTGCGTGCCCGCACTGGAGCTCACCAGGTGGGTTTGTCAAAACACACACAGTATTACCTTTAGGAATGCTTATCACTCGCTGCCGCTCATGTCAGAACTTTACATTAAGATCATCTGAGAAAGGACAGAGTTGTAGTGTCAATTAGATGAGGCATGCGTCTTGAATCGAGCTGGCTCCAAAAGTGAATCAGTTGTAGACACACCTGTAAATTATGTCTATAATGTTTAAAAATATATATTCAGTGGTTCCTGAGATATTTTGTTAACAGACATTTGACTCCAAACAATTAATATAAAAATATGTCAGTTAGCCCTCAGAATATGTGTTGAGGATCAGGCTAAGCTACCACCATCTGGAAATTTACCATAATTTTCAGTCTACTGAGCGCACTTGAATATAAGCCGCACCCACTAAATTTAAAAAGAAAAAGAAAATTTGTACATATATAGGTCACGCTTGTCTGTAAGCTGCGGGCGTTCATGTGAGATATTTACACAGAAAGATTTTTTAAACTTTTAATGAAATACTATAGCATGGCATCACACAGCTACACAGAGAGATGTGCAGCTGTTGTTGTAGATCAAGAATCAGTTAATGTTGATGATTATAACTGACAACTAATGAAAACCCCAAATTCAGTATCTCAGAAAGTTAGAATATTACTTAAGACCAATTAAAAAATTATTTTTATAAATGTTGGCCAACTGAAAAGTATGAGCATGAAAAGTATGAGCATGAAAAGTATGAGCACGTACAGCATCAGTACTTAGTTGTTGCTCCTTTTGTGTGGATTACTGCAGCAATGCATCGTGGCATGGAGTGGATCAGTGTGTGTCTCTGCTCAGGTGTTCTGAGTCCAGGTTGCTCTGATCGTGGCCTTCAGCTCTTCTGAATTGTTGGCTCTGGTGTATCACATCTTCCTCTTCACGATACCTCATAGATTTTCTATGGGGGTCAGGTGAGTTTGCTGACCAATTAAGAGCAGGGATACATTGGTCCTTAAACCAGATACTGGTAGTTTTGGCACTGTGTGCAGGTGCCAAGACCTATTGGAAAACAAAATCTGCATCTCCATAAGTTGGTCAGCAGCAGGAAGCATGAAGTGCTCTCTCAGTCCATCATTACCTGCAACATTCTCTCAGTGCAGACCGAACTTGGCAAAAAAGCATTTTCCTACTCAGCTCCTGCACCTGCAACACCTTGCAACTGGAACTGAAGATGTCCTCCTTGATTTCTTTATGGTGTTTCAAACATTTGATGATGTCAATAGAAAAATCAAAGCAAATGTGTTCTTCATATCCTGATGCATGCTCAATAATCCAGGTAGAAAAATCTTAAAAAGTTAAATCTGGTCCTCTGGACATTCAAAAAAAACAAAAAAATGTAGAAACGTTTCGTCTCTCATCCGAGAGACTTCCTCAGTCTGAGGTGCTGTATTCAGCTCAGTCTCTTAAATAGCACCTTCTCAGAGTGGATCAACCAGTTTGCTACTGACAACCAAAACCAGCTGCTCACATGGTCAAGAAGGACCATCAGCCTAACAATGGATCATTAGCACCTGATGGCTGTTTACTGTTCACAGAGGGCTGAGTGATACTAGCAATCACAGCATTGTAAGAGGGGGACAATTGAACCCGGAGGCTCCACCCCTGTTTAATGATGGATGATTTCTTTTCACAAAGATGGCCTCCTTTACTCCTCTCTCAAACCATCGTTCCTCTCTGTCCAGGATGTGAACATCTTCATCCCTGAAAGAGTGACCGCTGGCCTGGAGATGAGTGTAGACCGCAGAGTCCTGGCCTGATGATGTTGATCTTCTGTGCTGGTCCATCCTTTTGGCCAGTGGCTGTTTAGTTTCCCCGATGTAAGACTGATCACCCTCCTGACACTGAACAACATACACAACATTACTCTGTTTGTGTCGGGGGACTGGATCTTTGGGATGAACCAGTCTTTAATGTATTTTGGGGTTTAAAAGCCACTG